CTCAAACATACCAAAAACCAGGACAAAAAAAATCTGATAAAGACATTCCGTATAAGTGATGCTCTGATTTTGTTTCTGAATGTTTACTAGCATCTTTGGGATGGTAGTTGTGCTCAAACAGATGTCAGTAAAGGACAGATTGGAGAGAAAGAAATACATGGGTGTATGCAGGTTTGAATCAGAGCTGATGGCCAGGACAATGAGCAGGTTTCCAAGGACAGTGATCGGGTACATGATCAGGAATAGGCTAAAGATGAGGGTTTGCAGTTCTGGATCATCTGTCAGTCCCAGGAGAAGGAATTTTGAAGTATCTGTTTGGTTTCCGGCCTCTGTATTGATGGAACTGGTGGAAAAATGGGGTGATAAGACAATCAAATGTGTGGTCTATGACAACACTAGTAGCAACACTGGAGAAAAACAGGAATGGAGATGAAACTAAAAGGGGTAACTTCTTTGTGTATATTATTTGAATTTTTTTAATATAAAGAAAGACAGGCCTAAAGCTCTTAGTGCAGAGGATCAACCATTATGCATTCTAGAAGAGGATTGGATATGGTTGTTTTATTTCTTATTATATCATCTGTTCTTTTATATTCAATTTCAATATTTATTAATTTTTAAAGTGGAATTATATAGACTTGGCAGGCTACCTGATGAATGAATCTTCTTCCCCAGGGATTAGATTCATGTAGTAGAGATAATGAAATATGTACTAAGAAGTTAAGAAGAATGTATCTGACTCACCCTCATCTATCACAAGGATAATCTGATACACCCTCCTCTACCATCACCACCACAAAATGCAAGTACATGTCAGAGAATTTTGTTGTATGATCAGGTTTGATAAGGATTAGATTTTTTGCTCAACAGGAAAATCATCTGTGATTTTATACATGGAGCAAAAGTATAACAGAATGAGAATTCTTGCAAAGATATAAAGAATGTTATAGACAAACAGGATTCCCATGAAAGTGTTGGCTCCATCATTTCTTGCATGTAAACTCTTCAAATGCAGCATTCTCAGGGAAATCCCTGTCATAAAACACCTGTCCTTCTTTATAATCATACCTGGCTGGCATCCCTGACGAATGATGGTTGACATCTGTTCTGCATGTAGAAGACTGAAGATCTATCCTCAGTAAACACTGAGGGTCTGTGTGAAACCCTAGACTCTTGGGCAAAAAGGGTCATTTCTAGAAAGAGTGTCACATGCTCTACCTGCTACAGAGGAATAACTCTTAAATTAGATGTCACTGGCAGACTAATTTCTGTGTCTGTATCTCTGGAGACTCTGTACCCAAAGATCCTCATTAACCCAAAATTTTGTTGTCATACTGCCCCCAGAAGAGTAAAAATTGATGATTCCATGGTTCTGTGAGACCAGCTGCTTTTCATTCACCACTGCCCATCTATTGCGCTTTACCTCTTTATCACACATCTTATACATATGGACCCACTATTATTTCGTAGTCAAATTCCAGTTTTTTTTTCCCTTTAAGGAAATGTTAGACCTTTTAATCTCATACGGATGATTTTTTATGAAGAATACTGATTTTACAGGGTTTTGTTGTTGTGATATATTATTGAGTCAATTCCAACTCATAGGATTTACTTTTATATTTTGCTAAGATACTTTTTCCAGGAACATGTGTTGGATTTTATCAAATGTCCTTTCGGCATCAATTGATATAACTATTTGTTTAGTTTTATTTCCTCAATTTTATTTATGTTGTGGATTATTTTGATTTTTTTCTAATGTTGAACAATTCTTGAATACCTGGTTTCAATCATCTAGAAATAGCCAAAACAATATCAAAGAACAAAAACTAAGGGGTTTGAATTTTTTTACTACATTTTATTTTCACTTTCACATTAGTAAAGATAAAGAAGAACACTAGGTCTTTAAGCAGTCAGTCAAATAAAAAGTTTCCAGTTTGTTTCATTCCAAATTTGGAATTAATTTCACTCAGTTTAAT